GTTTGACTAGCAGGAAGTCTGCATTTAATTTTCCACATGCCCAGCTTCTCTACCTCCAGCAGATGTGAGACACCTTGTGATGTCTTCATATTTAGAACTAGTAAATTACGGGCAATGTTTTTTGACATGCTAGAGATGCCGACTTTTCCAAAAGCTGAGGTGGCCAGTGCCTTGCTGAGAGCAAGGTCATTAGAGAGGAACCTACTTAAATCAACTTGACCAGATGCAGATTGACAGTCTCCACCATCCAGGAGTGAAATTGGCTCAATCAAAATGACACAGCTTTGCTGACTTGTTAGGTTTTCTACATTGTTTCTTTGTCCGGCTGTAATTACAGTGTCAGAGTCAGAGACATCATCAAGGGGGAGAGAGCTGAAGAATCCCTCAAAGTTGTGATTCTTGTCAATACCAGAATAAGTTTTAGTTGTAATGTTGGGCATCATGGGAAGAACATTTGATGAAGTATTACAGATTGGCTGGGCACCAACCACACCATGGCTAGTGTGGGGAGGCAGGTCCAGGTTACATTGAATTGCTGAGCCTGAGCTCTGAGTTAAGCCTATGGCTAAGGAAGGTGGTTGTGAAAGAGATGGAATTCCATTTGGATCGAAAGAGGAAAGTAAAGAATTTTCATGGCTGGAGCAAGTGTTTCCATCTGAGTCTGAATGATTAGAAGCTCCACTTTGCTTTCTCCGTTTGTTTTTGCCCATCGTGTCCACCACAAGGCTGACACAGGGCAAAGTATAAATAATGCTGAGAAATAATTACAACTTTACAGAGGAGAAGAGCAAGTCAGTTGCCTTTCCTTTGTTGTAGTTCGAGCTTCGAAGCTAGCGGACACACCATACGTCTTGCCAGTTGCCACCAATCCAACCGCACTCCATCCCAGCTTCTCCCTCAATGTGCACGCAGCATTTGCCGCGTCCTTTAAAGCGGAACACGCGAGCAGCTGCTTTATACCTTTCAGCAAAGAGCTCCTAAAATGTGTTCTAAAATTTTGTGATTCTTTTTGGCAAGAACTGTTCTAATAACTGATTTATTCAAAAAAACTCATCTACACATTCCCAATATTAGAGACAACAATCCTAAACCAACTGCTAATTAATTGATCGTATTAATGGTTTAGAATAGAAGGGTCGGCACTGAAGGAATAGGCCCATGACCTGTTGCCGACTTTTTGCACTTTTCGTATTTGTTGTGTTCTTTTGCACCTGCTGCCGATTCTTGTAGGTACTTGATTCCTCAAGGGATCCGGCATTTTGAACCCGATCTTTCCATAACAGACCATTGACTGAGATAGCTGCACCGAATTGACCGAATCGACACTTCAGCGAACTCTAGCTGCTGGGCTTTTATGAATGCTTCTCAGCGCGATCTTATTTAACATTAAAACTTTATTTTTCTTATTTACTCGTTATACAATTACACTTTATTGCATTTCATTTTCCGTATTCAATTGCATCGTTCTAATAAATCTAATACATAACTGATAAAGTTTCAAAATGGATTTCCAATGATCTACTGTCTTCTAATAGCATAAAAAATGAGCATTTTAACTACATAATTTTTGCGTAAATACTCAATCAGAACATTCATTTAAAACTTACTCGAAAAATTGATAAATAAATACACGTCGTTTTCAGTTTTGATATATTTGGTAAACTTCGTTCATATAAGTATTACTTAACCAGCCATGCTGTCGTATACTGGAACACGTCACTCCTGATGCTTCCGAGTTTGCAGAGAAACAACTTTTACTGGAACATTTCGATGAGATATTGTACATGAATATTTTATTCTCTATCTAATTAGGCAAATGTAACAGTACAAGTCTATAAATGATGCAATTGACTTTGCGCATATATGAACATGATTTTTTCGTATTTATGAACGATGGCAAGCTATTGGCATGGTGGCCCGGTGGGTACAGTTCAGAGTAAGATGACCAAACAGTTAGGCACAGCAAAATTGGAGCGTGCTGAGTGAGTTGCCTGTTCGAGACCACAGCAAGTGGTAAATATTCTGCGATGCTTAGAATTGGAGACAGGTCTGATGGTCTAACGAACGCCGAAATCAATATACTATATACTATAATATACAGTGTTGTTCCAAAGACATAAATACTACTGGAAAGCGTGCGAACGATATTTATTGTTGGTCGGAGTTCAAAATTGTTTAGACATATATTGAGGTTTCCTCATTCGATAATGCAGAGATATAATAAAAAGCAGGAGGTGAATACAGACTAACTCAAAAAGTGTCCTATCAACATAATGTTACCGATATTTTGAGGCTTTATAGTTTCAGCATTCAAATTGTCTGAAAAATCTCCCATGATTCACGTATACGAAAGCGCATGTTTCATTGTTTAAATGCCGGTCCATTTTGAGTTATAGATAGAGAAACTCCTTACAGTTTTTGCTGATTTACTCTGGGACTTCTTAGGTCAAATATGCGACTTGGACAACTTTCCAATCTATGTAGATATAAGGTAGATATGGCATTCAACGGGTAGACAGTGATGACGCAAATTTGGCAACAAATTAAAAAATTTCTGTTCATTATAAACTGAGCGACTGAGCCAATACGTGTTATGAGCATTCCACAGAGAGCATCTCCAAAGAAGCAATAACATTTACGAAATTCAAGTAAATCAATAAGAAAAAAAATAAGAATAAATCATTATTTATTTTCCTGTTCGGCAGAACCTAAATGTGCTACCAAAATGAAGGCAGAGAAAAAACAATAAGCTAAGGGGAAATAACGATTGAGTTTTCCACTCTAGAGCCGGAGCTACGTAGCTTGGTCGCTAGACTGCTTTAACTAGATGCCTTCACCTTACACTGCTGTTATTTCAAAAGAGCATCTTCTTTTGGAAAAATTGGAGCAGTGAGTTGCATGTTCGAGACCTACAACAAGCTGTGAATATTTCTGTGATGCTTAGAATTGGCGATAGGTCTAACGGATTAATGACAGCACCGCTATACTATATATACAAAACCACTTTAACGCTTTTACATCTCGGCGTGATAAATGTCGTGTTTACATCTCGTGTCATAAATTCTACATTAGGTATATCACTCTAATGTTGGTTTTTATGGTGCATATTTCTACTGCTAAATTTATCTTAGGTTAGAGAACACAGCCAAGGACTCTCCCCTGCTTTGTAACAAGCGTAACAGAAACGAGCTTGAGAACCGCCTGCTGCCATGATATTTCCTGATGAACCATCCAGCAGCCAGGCAGGCTCAATCAAAACGAAGCTGTTTTGTGGTTTCACATGATTCTTAGCATTGGTTCTTTGTCCTGCTGTAATTACAGGAAGAGAGCTCGAATATCGTTAAAAATTGTGAATACCAGAATTAGTTTGGCATCATAGGAAGAACTTCTAATGAAGTATCACAGTCAGGTGGGCTGTTGGGGCTAGAGTGAGCCTCAGTGATGAGGCAGGTTAAGGTTGTGTTGAAGTGCTGAATGCTGAGCTCTGGGTTAAGAGCAATGGTTCTGAAAGAGATGGAATTCCATTGTGATAAAAAGAGGAAAGTAATGAATTTTCATGGCTGGAGCAAGTGTTTCCATCCGAATCTGAGTGATTGGAGGCTCCACTATGCTTCCTCCGTTTATTTTTGCCTGTAGTGTTAGAGACATTTTTGCGACTTTTATTTTGTAATAAAATTATAATTTACCTTTACCTTGGCAACACCGTTAGGAAGTTAACGTCGCGCAACAATTTTCTCCTTGATCATTATCGTTCCGCTGATCCCCGCTGCAGATTAGTTTGAGCTCTAATAGGTTCCCTTTTATTGTCAGAATAATTGTTATATCATATTATTATTTCTTTATTCGTCTTCAACGACGACCATTTATTAGATTTAATCTTCGACAGATACGTACGTTGCCAAGGGTATCATTATTTACACTATTTTTCATATCTAAATACTTATATTAAAAGCCCACCTTGTTATTCATTTTCACTGCATTAAAATCTCAGCTCCAGTCTCTTTCATTTACAATCCTGTTGGTTTAATGTGTGGGTAATGACTGGCACTTACTCCACATGCCCATCGTCTCCGGCCCTGCAAGGCTTACGCTGGGCAACTGCCCTCCAACTGATTACAGAAGAAAAAAAAAATAATAGTATTGATTAATATGAAGAATACTGAGGGATAATGACAATTTTGCAGTTTTACTGGAATGGAAGATGGAAAAGTGGAAGCCACCTGACTTCGTTGAAGTTCAATCCTGCGAGCAGGTTACAAGCGAACTCGGCAGAACAACTTGCACACATCAAATGTCATCAGTAGCTTCCAACTTCGACCGGAGTCAAGTGTGAATGCCCATGGTTGAACTAGTATGCGAATGCCATTTTTCATCTTCGCGCTTGCAATGCGTAGACGGAGAAGCGAGCCCTTTGCAATTTCCATTAAGTGAAAATTGACAAAACTACGAAAATTCGCAAACACAATTCTCGTCCCATCGACCGCCAACTTATCTTACAACTTCATAGGAATTAATAGCTTAATAATAAAAAAAAACTTTATTTCTTTTGATCTAAAAAATAATACCGAAAATTCACAAATCAATAGAGATGATATTAGAAGCTATAATTACATCTCAATAAGCTTCTAATGGTATCATGTTAGAGAATGGTTAGCAAATCAATTCACATGAAATAAAAATTGACAATTTTTTTACTATACTATGTTCACTAGGAAGATTGCAGTAAAAAAAGTAATTGGAGACTTAGACAAATTCTTTAATTTATTTCTGAGCCTCATCTCAATGATGAGTCTCAGAAATCATCATGGAAATCAAAGAATTTTAATTAGGTTCAATTTGAAAAATACTTATTTAAGACATTAAGTGAGACTTTGGCCCGCACACCCACCGACGCACTGACACCGAGTGCTCTCGAACACTGTTGAACTCTGTAGTGTAATTAAAAGTCAATAGACATTCGATAAAATCTATTTGAAAAAGTTATAAATGATTCTAACACAATGTACGATGCATGCCTCGTAGATCTCGTCTCGGAAGTTATCGTTTCTTTTGAAGAGCAATCACGTTATCGATCCCAAGTCGCGTTGAGAAGCCAAGTAACATCTAACAATGAGATCTTGAGGGGGCTGGGGTGAGTGGGGTTGTCGCCCCCCCTCAACAATGATTTCAAAGTCATCGGAGAAATGAAATTTGAGAACTGGCTTCGGAAAACTTCAGCATAATCAATTTCTTCTCGATATGGGCAGTTCATGTATCCACAGTGGCGTTATTAGCGTTAAAATGTAAAATTAGTTTTATGTTCAATGTTCCGAATGTAACTTAAAAAGGTTTACAATAGAAGTGTCTGCACTGACAAGTGAATATATAGAAGTGTCTGCACTACTATTACAATACAATAGAAGTGTCTGCACTGAAAAGAAGTGTCTGCACCTGGCCTGTTGCAATTCGCAAGGGAAATTTTAAATTAACTTCTTCGACGAAAAATAATGCACTACACTCGTTACATGCTTGTTTTTCATATAAACCTTCTACTACAGCCTCTTAAAACAAAGCAATTTGGAGCCAAACGAATAATTGCGATCAAACAATACAAGTTGCTTTTGGTCCAATAATGTCGTCGAGTGACTTAGATCTCTCAACCAACTCCGTAGACTGTACTGTTGCAAAAGCTAATCACCGATTAAAGATATAATCCTTCATCATTCCTTGTCGTAAAATTTTCATTTTCAGCTTTTCCTACGAATTAACGAATGAGTTTAATCGTTTTTGATCTGGAATGGAATTGGGACCGCATTGCCTTGCGGTCACACCTTAGGCAGTCATGCATCTACGCAACACATTCATTTATTCAAAAAGAAAAACCAAATAAAACAAGGCGTTACAACGAAGCTAATTCATTCAGTCAACAAGGCAACTAGAATATATTAAACTAACAAAACATTTACGTAAATTTTAAAAATATATTACTATTCTTCTTCAAAACTTCTGTTGAGTTGCTGTCGTGCGGTCATTCGCAGTTCCGCAAGATCCGTCGGAGAAGACAAATCCAAGTAACTCTCACTGCCATTTTTATCATCATCAGACCTGGTGCAGCTCTTTGTTTTGGTATTTAATATATCACAAGACAAGTCGGAGTGGAACCAATTCATGTCAGGGTTGTCATTAGACTTTGTGGTGACCGGCTCATCAGTCTCGGAATACTCTTCGAGTTTACTTCTATGCTCCGAAGAGTGAAGATTTTTATCAAGCATGTAAAGAGAAGTATTATCGTTGAAGTTTACAGATGGTGTAAGCAATTCACTTTCGAAGTATGAGGTTTCTGATTCATCATTGCTTTCGTAATGCGTTGAGTCTGTTGGACGCATCAAAAAACTTTCAACATTTGGAGCAGAGGAAGGAAAATTTCCAAAAGATGTTGATGGAATGGGGATACAGCGCAAGTTTGAACATGTATTCATATTTTCTATTGGATGCAAAATTTGGTCAGGGTCGCTTTGACCTAGCGGTGACAAGGTTTCTTCAGAAATTTGACTTTCAATGACTTCAATTTTATTTTTCTCCGTGTAACTTTCATCCGGTGTGTAAGTAAATGATAGGACACTCATGCATGAATCGGTTTTTCTATGCTGTGGTGATTCCAAAATCCCTGAAGTTGGAATGTGAGATGAGTTTTGAAAGTTATTTTCCTCTGTATTGTTGTTCCCTTTTGCATTATTGTAATTAATTCCGCATTGATCTTCACTGGATCTTTCTTCCTCCAAATCATCTACTCCCGAAGTAGCCGAGGATTGTCGTTCGGCCTGCAGTGGGGAAGTAGACAAGGGAAACAGAGGTAGAAAGTACGAAAGCTGTGGGGAGCCTGGGGAAGATACCGTGGGGCTATCTGCACAGGGGGATGTTGGTGGGGAAGGAGTAGTTAGTACTCTTGGGGACTCGCTATTGCTTCTACATGATTTTCCAGCGTTCTTAGACGTTCTCACTGTAACGCCTTTCGACTTATCTGTTTCTCTTACCAATAAATCGGACCCGAAGTCGCTACCTATGTTTTTTTCAACTGGGTCTACAACAAAATATGGGCTTTTCGTTTCGTCGGAGTTTTGGTCCATGTTTTGTCCAACGCTCGTAATTGGTGAATCCAAGGGCTCAACCGTGCGTGAGTTTTCTGCTGACTCATCGTTGCAGACCCCAATACCTGCACGGGAACAGAATACGACTTTGTTCAGGTTGGTAACACGTGAACATCTGACGTAGAGAGCAACGTAACAATATTATAAAACATATCGTCTTCAATAGTAACTACAGAAACGGTACAAATCTACAATAAATTTTTTATAACAATGATTTGGTGAAATAAAAACTTAGTACTTTAGTTAACGCTCTGTCTAGTAGCTGCAACACTCTCGATGCCAGACCTTTGGAAACTAATAGCATCGACGAATGTTAATGCGTCGGTAGAAACATGATCAAACAACAATATACTTTCCTTTGACATCCATTTCATCTTATGCCACCAAATTTATCGGAGTCGCAATAACTATCGTGATGCTGAGTTGTTCATTTAATTATAGGTGCAGTAGCGGGCGCCGCAGCTGACATGGATGAGGGCAAGGGAAGGTCCCAGCAATTGTCATAGGCAGCACACGGAGGGCTTCCCTCTGACCCTCAGGCTTAGCTGTGCTGCTGCAGTTGCTCTGCTTCTGCTGCTGCTGTGTGATGCTGCTGCTGCTGTGTGATGCTGCTGCTGCTGCTGCTGCTGTGTGATGCTGCTGCTGTGTGATGCTGCTGCTGCTGTTTGATGCTGCTGCTGCTCTGTGATGCTGCTGTTGCTGCTGTGTGATGCTGCTGCTGCTGTGTGATGCTGCTGCTGCTGTGTGATGCTGCTGCTGCTGTGATGCTGCTGCTGCTGTGTGATGCTGCTGCTGCTGTGTGATGCCTGTCTCTTATACACATCTAGATGTGTATAAGAGACAGCTGCTGCTGCTGCTGTGTGATGCTGCTGCTGCTGTGTGATGCCTGTCTCTTATACACATCTAGATGTGTATAAGAGACAGGCTGTGATGCTGCTGCTGCTGTGTGATGCTGCTGCTGCTGTGATGCTGCTGCTGCTGCTGTTATGCTGGATGCTGCTGCTGTTGTGTGATGCTGCTGCTGCTGTGTTATGCTGCTGCTGCTGTGTGATGCTGCTGCTGCTGTTGTGTGATGCTGCTGCTGCTGTGTGATGCTGCTGCAGCTGCTGTGTGATGCTGCTGCTGCTGCGTGATGCTGCTGCTGCTGCTGTGTGATATTGTTCCTGCTATATGATGCTGCTGCTGCTGCTGCTGCTGTGTGATGCTGCTGCAGCTGCTGTGTGATGATGCTGCTGCTGCTGCTGCTGCTGCTGTGTGATGCTGCTGCTGCTGTGTGATGCTGCTGCTGCTGTGTTGTGCCGCTGTTCCTGTGTGATGCTGCTGCAGTGTGTGATCTTGCTGCTGTGTTTTTGATGTTGCTGCTGCTTTGTCACGCAACTGCAGTTACCATGTGTTGATGAATCTGCTGTGTGTTTGTGAAGGAATCTTACATAATGCTGCTGGTGCGTAATGATATGATACTGAGATATTAGGTGCTGCTGTGGGTATACAATTCTGATGATAGGTGCTAGCTGTCTTATCGATGTGTAAATTTTCATCCTGTACAGGTGTGGCGATGAAAGGTGATTCGTTGCGGATAATATTCGCACAGATATCCTGCTGCTGATGTTTTTCTTGTTCGACACCATACATTGCTCCTAAATTTCCTACTGCTTCAATTTCCTCTGTTTTACCTGTATACCCGAATCCAGCAGACCCTGAAAATCATCCTCAATAGAACGTTTGCTTCATGAAAAATCTACTAATGGAAAAACAAGCTAAACTAGCTTTACTTAACTTGGAGCTCGTAAATAGAAGCATCGAATGCCTTACCTAGCTCCTGGGCTCTGTAAAGAGCAGCATTGAATGCTCCGCCTTACCTAACTCGTGGGCTCTGTAAAGAGCAGCATTGAATGCTCCGCCTTACCTAACTCGTCGGCAACGCAAAGAGCTGAACTGAAGGCTTCTTTTGTCCTCGAGGCGCATGCTTCTGATGGTAGTTCCTTGATGGCCACGGTTTTATTTATATTCTCCTCTCCCTCCAAGTTGCTGGAGTCATGTCGATTCGTGCCTCTTCTAAACGAATCGTCGTGCAAATTCATGGCTGTATTTATTGTAGCATCTGGACCTGGTTTTGATGTAAATGTCTGGTTCTTTACTGCCGCCTGACTTTTTTTAATGCCCAGGAAATGCAGATCTTTTTTTCCATCCGATGTTGCCAGACATTTTTGATATCCAGCTAAGAAAAAGTCTTCAGAATCCGAACCTTCTGTTTTGTCTACAAATCCTACGAAAGGTTGACAAAATGATAAATTTTGGCGATTTAAAGCTGGCTGAAAAGAATAAGGAAGTGAAAAAGACGAAGAGGAATGTGGAATTGAAGTGGGAGGACAAAGAGGTGGATTTTGAATATAATAAGAACTGGAAGAATTTTGGTGTTTCTGTAACATTTTTTCGTGCTTCCGCCATTTTGCTCTGCGGTTCTGAAACCACACCTGAAAAAAAAATAAATGCGTCCCGTAGTAATTCACATTATAAGCTTATTCGACCATTCGCGTTCTGACGTTGACTACTGAAATCATTATTATTACCTGTATAATATTTTCTCATACTCATATATTTTCACAACTTCAATGAGCATATGGATGTATTAGTTTGACCTGGACACGCGCTTCGGTGAGATGTGTCTGTGCTGCGATGTGTTCTCTGCAGTACACATCAGGGTATTGGTTGGCGACGAACGAGCGCTCGAGGGCTGCCAACTGTTCACTGCTGAACGTCGTCCTGTGAACGAGTTAACCAACACAGGTCAACATTTCTTAGATGAAAATCCAACGTAACTTTCATGGAAATTAACTTACATTACAGTTCAATAGTAATATGATTGCATGTTCCAAAAGAATGTAAGTTATGCGATGATCATAAATCATGCGGGATTGTCGCCTGTTCTAAGATCACTATTTGTACAATTATCATTTGTTCTACTCGCATGCAATCGATGTAATTGATCTACAAGTCACAATTGACTGTTCAAATTAATAAGTGGGAATTTCGAGCATTACTTCCAACTGAGTTTATTGTAGTATATCTCTCAACTCAACTATCATATATTATTTATCGTTGACATGACATCCAACTATTGTTCACAGAAGGTAATGATATTCTTTATTTATGTTCTTTATAATGTTCAAAAATATTGAACAATCACTCATTTTATTGCACAATATTTTTCTGCGCTACCGATAGCATACGCTCACCGATAGCGTCTTTGTTTTCGCCTGTAGAAAGATTCGTCGAAGTCCAACGCGTCTCCCGAGGTCGAGGTGACCTCCTCGGAGTTGTCTGCATTGAGATCTTTTATTGCAGAATCACCGGAACTTGATGAAATACACGGTAGATTGATGTAGACATGATCCCTATGATTGTAAGAAGGCAGTAGATCGATCGCCGATCTTGGGTCAATAGACTCTGGATTGAGTGACACAGCATACTGAGAGTCTGATGGGTTAAATAGCTTATTGGAAACAACTGGATGGAATAGCTTAGCGTTAGGGACGAATGCACTGTTTTTAAATGTTGTTATTTTCTTGAGTGAATTACTAGAATTTGGTTCATCGGATTCAGCATGCAGAGCTGAAGCGCTGTTCGGGTTGGATTCAAATGGGTAAGCATCGTTGGCTTGGTTGGGCAAGAGTCTGATCGGCACGGGCGACACCAACGAGTGACATGGAGGCGGGCATCCTGCGTGGCCGGACGGGTTCAAGATCTTGTTAGAGTGCGGAGGAAAAGGCACAGGGATCGGCGATCCAAAAGTCAGTGAGATCCCGGACGGTATGATGACTGTGCTACCAGGGATGTCAGCGGACCGGAATAGATCACCAGGAGGAGTGCGTGATCCTGTGGTAAATAAGGATAGATAAACCTATTATTTAGCCCTCATCGTCGCTATTACCATATTTCATTAAATTTATTGATACATAATTAACATTTGCCGCTAATTTAGGGGTTGTCTTATAGCTAATCTTGTAGATTCCCCAACATGCTTCACAATTTGCAAGAGGCTACATATGAAAGCCCCACCACAAACTTATCATGTTCACTTAAATCGCTCAGACTTATCAAAACTTAAAGTGAAGTGGCTTTACATTTACACAATCTGATTGCTACTGATAATTACGCTTCGGATGACGGTGACGTTGATATATTGAGACGCTCTTAATGATAATAATCTGAGTGAGAGACATCATCGTGATATTCCTTTGCTTTTCAAATCAAATTTATTGCTATTTCTTATGATTTGAGTCGTCTAACTATGGCTTTTCATTTACAAAGAGCAGCATCCTCGAAATCATTGTCAGCTGCCTACCATTATAAAAGAGTAGTACTATAGCCAGCGTTTGTATACTGTATCATTCGGCCGTATACCAGTTCAAATATTAGTTTCGCAATATTCAATGTCGGCAGAACTTATCATTCAGCCGCCTCTCTTTATCAGAGTTCGAGAACTTAATCTGGTCGCAGTTAAAAGTTAATACTGTGGTTAGGATATATTGAGTATATACTACCTTCATTTTAGGCGTAAACGTAATTTGAACAGAAATTGTGACTATTATTAGAATACTAGCAGGTTAGCTTAGAGTTGCACCGGCAAGATAATCCTATTATAAACCCAAATCCCAAATCCACACTAAACTAAAATATACATAAGTACTACAATTAATGAGAAACATCCATCACTGAACCATAATTTGTCTAGAAAATTAGAGATCGCACTTTCCAAAAAATCACATTTTAGTTTTTAAACCTAATAAACCTAATTTGTCCTTTCCTTTTTAAAATCCCGACACGATTGGCGGACAAACAGCGTCCACATATCCACAGTACTGGGCGTCTAACAAACACACAAGTACTCGCAAATGTACAATAAAATGGTCTTGATACATATAAAAGATAATTATCTGTTTATTCGTTTTATTATAATCATGAGGAGTGCAATGATGATTAACTTAAGGGATCACTTGCCTGCTATGCGGCCGACGGTCGCGGCCTGACGCCAGGCGCTAGTTTCCTCAGACATCGTAGCTACACCTAGCAACGGCTCCTATACACCTAGCAACGGCTCCTATACACCTAGCAGCGGCTCCTATACACCTAGCAACGGCTCCTATACACCTAGCAGCAACGGCTCCTATACACCTAGCAACGGCTCCTATACACCTAGCAACGGCTCCTATACACCTAGCAACGGCTCCTTCTTTCACGACTCCTTTATTAACGGCTCCTTTATTCAGGATTAATTCATTCACGGCTGTTTAATTCAAGGCTAATTCATTCACGGCTGTTTAATTCACGGCTATAATTCCTTCAAGACTACTTCATTCACGGCTACTTCATTCAGGGCTGTTTAATTCAAGACTAATTCATTCCCGGCTACTTCATTCACGGCTCCTTCATCAACTTCCATTTAATTTCACAATTAAGTTCAAGTCATTCATGAATGTTTCAATTCATCGTGGGATATTGCATATTCGTTTCTTGAAGTATAATCCGAAATCTTGGAATTACATCACCTCTTCATCGTTGTAAAATAGCTGTATTTTCGTAACCTTAATGTTTCAATGACCTTCTCTCAACAATGTTTATAAATTAAGTTTATTGAATATTCGAATTCAAGCTCTAAACAAAAATACAAGTTGTTCCACTCAAGCTTGTTCCAAGCTCGAGCTTATTTCCTGTGACTTCTAGATTAACATTTGTCTGAAGTTTCTATTATATCTTAGATATCTAATGAATTCCTAGCATCATTTCTTACTTAAACCCTACCGAAGATACTTTTCTTTTAATACAATTAACAAATTAATTATTATATTATTTTATATTTATTATTCTCTGTTAATATTATATTATAAATTTATAGTACACACTCGTATTGTATCCAGGTATACAAATCCAGTAAAATGTATATTGATTACATAAACAGACCGGTTAAGATCAACCAGTCTACGGATACAGAAACGAACATTTAACTTATTCATGACGCAAAGAATTTCAACAAACGCTGCACCAGCTTTTATTGTAATTATTGTCTAGAAACATATATTTATCGCAGCACGAATTTGAGTGCTATCTTTATATTAAACCCTTCAAATGCAAGCATTTATCCTTAATGCTTGCATTAGGGATATTTGAGGGACCTAATTAATTTATTTGATGCCGAGGTATAAAAGATTTGCGACATTAATTTTAACTGAGGAACAAGATGTCACTTAATTAAAAAATAAGGGCGAGATTCGACTTAAGATTTCAAAGCCACGCCGTCCGAGTCGCAGGTCACAGAAGATCAGCCTTGCGACCAGCTAGCGACGTCGACCTGCCCGGCCTGAAGTCTGGCCGCGGACTGGCGGAGCGGCTGAACTCTAATGCATCGTTAAGACTTCAGGTTATAGTTAAAACATGATCTATAGTATTGTATTGCTGTTATATTACTCTCAGTTCTTGTTTTAGAGCCAACCATGACCTATAGTAGCGTTGTTTTAGATTTATTCGTTCATGTTTTAGTGACTGAAAGGACCACTAAACAAGAATGGTGAGTAGCACCTAGCAGGTGGCTGTAAAATTTATCGGGAGATATGAAGGGCAAAGAGGCACTATCTCCAATTCAAAGTGACATGAGCCTCGGTTTCTATGTTGGATTAGTCTCTTGAGCTGCTCTTCGTAGAATTGGTAATGCCTGAATCGGCAGAAATTCGTCGCAACAGGCTCAATGCAAGTTGGTCTGACCAATGGCCTGCCTGATACACGTTTGATTCGATTGAAAACATGTTATTCCACTGTCAACAAGTGATCGTATCCACAAGAAGGGAGCGTGCCTTTGGTATCGTATCCCTATGAGTGAATATGTCTAAGTTTTATATCCACAAGGAGGGAGCGTACCTTAGGTATCGTATCCCTAGCAGTGCACATGTCTAAGGTATCGCACCCACAAGAAGGGACAGCACCTTAGGTATTGTATACATAAGTGTGAACATGTCTTAGGTATCGCATCCACAAGGAGGGAGCGTACTTAAGTTATCCATGGTACAGTATTCACTAGGAGAGACCATGCCTCAGTTTCCGTATTTGCAAAGATGGAGCCCACCCACTTAAGATTCTTAGTCCCTCTGACGCGCTGACCTCAAATTTAACGACGAGAGTTAGTGAGTGGCTTGTGTATTTAAATAAATATGTGAAAATCATTTTTCTGGTCCGGCTATCATGGATGTTTATGCTGCACAAATGCAGCCTCATTACTATAGCCTCGCTATTTATTTTAATTCACTTTTACTTCCCTGGGCAACGAAAACATGGCCTCTGACGCTTACAAAAACATGGCCTCGGTCACGAGCGTGAGTCTTCATCATGGGGTAGAAGCACCATATTTATAACAGCTGAAATAGGCGTCTTATACAAAAAGAACCAGTTAGCACTATTATAGTAATATAGTTCTCGCTGTCACATGAGTGTGTCAGCTGGACGTGCAAAGGAATTTGCCGTGTATTCGTTACTAGTGGAGTAACAGAGTTATTGAACACATTCAAAAGAACGCGTTTTTTTGAACAATCAATGAAACATTAATTAATAATATTATATGTCGTGTTCGTTTCTTCTCTTATATATGGAAGGGTTTCATAATCATCATGAAGACATAAACACCTACTTTTTGTGTTTAATATGTTTTTTCTCACAATTGCTTATTATTATTACAAAATATTCACAGATTGATCGAACACGCAACTCACTGCTCTAATTTTGCTTTACTTAACCGCCCGGCCTCCTCGCCGACTCCAACCAGAAACTGTCGCAAGTAGCTGGGATCGAACCCGCACCTCTCTGCTCCAATCTTGGTACTCCGACTGTAACCGCTGGGCCATCGCATTTGACAGGTATGATCTTTATATTTTTTTAGTTTTGAGATCTAATTTTGTGAGTGTTATTAGAATTATCAGGGCTATATAAAGCATTAACAGCTAGTGCTAACTATTAAATTAGCAACATTTACCAAATAATTAATTAAATATAAATTCATGAGCCGGCTGCTAGTTTCCTCCGAGGAGCACGCAGCTCGTTGCACCAGAGGTCGTTAACAGAAGCTTGGCGGTCCCAAACTCAGAAGCGTATGCATACCACCACTCCTTCAGTCCGTCGTGGCACTGGTATGACTTGCGAGGTTTCTAGCGCGGTCTGTGACGTCCATAACTCCGTGGCTGACATTAGCTGGGAATGTTTATACAAAGCGTTTGCTACAAGGCTTGTTTAGGAGTTAAAACTGGGCCGACGGCTGTTATGTTTGCTTGAGCAGCCTCTGTGAGATATAGGAATAGTTCAGTTTAGGATAAAGGTTCGTGCCGCGATATCGAACCTGTCAGAAATTCGTAGTTATTCTTTTCACTTAGTTAAATCTACTGAATACGTGGGTAAATTCTGATTAATCATTGCATATTTACACGCTGCATGAGTCCTCTGCTTCTTGTTATTGGCACAGAAAAAGACGCTGATTCTGCAGTCCATGATCAGTAATTTGTGGATTTCATCCGGCATTGAAAGCATTAGACTATAAAAAAGTAGGCATCGCTAGTGCAATCTCCCATTAATAAATTATGTCACGAGGCGCCGTATCCAAGAAGCCGCTGATATTCTTATCTTCCAGTCATGAAGAAGCACAAACCAAATAGGATATTTGTTTCGCTAATGATTATTATTTAAGCACTGGACTGATGTTTTGTTTCTAGAGCGTTTTGATCGTTTAAAAACCGGTAACAAGAATAATCATCAACTACATATTAATATTATAATATTCCCATGCTTTAACGCCGGGAAAGGCATATATTTAACTTTCATGTGTATTTTAGGAAATTCAACCCATGAAATTTTACCTGAGATGTACTCGATTATTTTACACCCAAGTTTTCTCTTTTCATAAAAATTCAAACCCTCATCGCATGTCATCATTTATTTTACCACATTTTTCTTAGCTCGCTTTCGTGTCTGTCTGCCTGTCTGTGATGATCAAATCTTGCAATCGATATGTAAAGGACTTTCTTGTTGGCTAGTCCTTTGGGAACGTTTACCGAACTATTCATAGACGCGCCATCATAGCAGGATAAAAAACGAGTATTCCATGATGTATGGTTTCTAGAAAGGAAATGACATATATACATAAGAAATATATACAAAACAAAATATACGCTAATTACATGAAATATATGAACCAAGATAAATCAATAATTCAGCAGGATAATCAATAATTCACAAAAACAAACGATAAATCGAACGAACCGAATAGCTTGGTTCCCCTGGTAGTGCAGGCATCCGTAATCAAGGGCTAACAATGAATGCTAATGACGCTAGTGAAATCAACTGCGTCGAGTAGGCTAATTCTATAGCTACAAATTTCAGAAAAAGGGAAAATGGCGGCTACACGATATTTCACCAACTTTCCCGCTAGCTAGCGCTCTGAAACTTTTAGGGAAGCTCAGCTCCCGATGATAATACAATAATCAATAATTTGTTGCACGTTTCCAGGCGTATGTATTCAATGAAATGTAATAAATACGGGATGTAATGTAAAGATGGATACGGGAACAACAATGTATCCCCTCGAATACAATTTTCTACAGAACTTCGAAAAGAATTTTCTATCGTGCATTTGCGTGGCCAACTCAAATACTAAAGGACTAAAAAGGAGAAAATAAAATACTTAAAAAAACTTTTTAAAAAACCACGTTTTTCTTGTGGACTAAAAAGTAGAAAATAAAATACTTAAAAAAAACTTTTTAAAAAACCACGTTTTTCTTGTGGACTAAAAAGTAGAAAATAAATTATGGCTCGCCCAAAAAACGTGGGTCGGGCTGTACGTTCACCATCAAATTTTCAAAATTCGTGTGTTGTGTGCTTTTCGCTTTGATCATAAATCTGCCCGACACACGTTTTTTGGGGCGAGCCATAATTTATTTTCTACTTTTTAGTCCACAAGAAAAACGTGTTTTTTTAAAAAGTTTTTTTTTTAAGTATTTTATTTTCTACTTTTTAGTCCACAAG